AGGTTTCAAACACAGATCTGCCCAGATTGCCCCAGATTATCCCCAAGGAACAGTTGGGGCACAAAGCAGCTGCCAGGTTTGGATGCAAAGGGCTGGAGTCCCACAACAGGCACAAATAACCACAGCACTGAGGGAAAGACCCCTAGAGGAAGTCATTTCCTAACCTCGAGGGTAATAAAAAGTAGAAATCTCCACTGATCACCCTGGGTTTATCTAGATATGAGTCAGGAGTTGGGTCACCAAGGTCAACCACTGCCCACGAACACATCCAGGTCTCATTATCAGGGTCAACATCGATAAGCTGACCTTGGGTTAGTTTATGACATAATGGTTTCTTCCACAGGGTGGTCTTGAGAAAGGTCTCCCAGATCCAACTTATTGAAATACCAGTAATAGATGACGCACAGAGGGATTTAAAAATCAGAGTAAAAGCCCAAGGCTTGGCTGAGCCCTCCAAGGGGGACCTGTCCCACTCCAACCCTCCCCAGAGAGCCCAGACCCCACACAGCAGCCCCAAACTCCATCGCCCTTCACAACTCCCCCTGTCCCCAGCCAGAGGAGAAAGACTTTTTCACAGAAGTCTAGGGCCTGCTTAGGACACAAGGATGGAAATAGGATCAACTGCCCCTCTAATGGGTCAGGAACAGGCAAGGAAATGAGTTATGACCTGAGGAAAGCCTCATCCCCCCACACTTTACAGTATAAGATACGTAACTGGGATACCCCACTCCCAATTATAGGACACTCAGGGACCCCCTAAACCCAGATCACTTTATAAGACAGGACAAAAAGCCAGCAGGAGGGGAGAAAGCATCCTTATATCCGTATTTTATAAGGTGGGAGAGCATCGGATTCCCTGGATCCAACAAAACTCCCCTCATGAGGTAGGAGGGCAGGGATCCCATATAACCGGGGGGGATTCACCCATAAACCAGAGGGGTGCCCTGAAGGACAAAGTCCCTAGAGGGCTGAGGAGATTTCCCCCTCACAACACCCACGGGGGGGCTCCAGCCCCTGAGGGGGGTTACGGGGAGGGATCGCGGCTCCTACCGGCTGCACGACGCGGCCCCACCGGGGGTGCTGGCCGCCGGGGGCGAACGGCTGGCGCGGGGCCCTGCACTGGCCCTGCCCCGTCTCCGCCGAGGGGGTTTCAGGCCCGTGGGCTCGGCCTCCATGGTGCTACTCAGGGAAAAAGAAAGGGGGGGGAGACGGGGAACGGGACCCTCCGGGGCTCAGCGGCGCCGCTTCAGCCCGGCACAAAATGGCGGCGGCGGAGCCGGTCCCAGGCGGCGCCTCAGCGGTTTGAAAATGGCGGCGGTGCCGGCGGCAGCCAATCAGCGCGGCGGGAGGGGGGCGTTGCTAGGAGACGAGAGGGGCGGGATTAAGGGAGGGGCGGGGGGGGAAGGCTGAGGGCAGCGCCCCCTGGTGCCCGCCTGAGGTGGGGGGGGGGAGCGCGGGGAGGGGAAACTGAGGCACGGGGCTGGCTCCTCGTCCCTAAAAAGTTGTGTTCCTTTTTCTCCCGTTTTCATCCTTCTTTTCACCTCAGTGAAAAGCCAGTGCCTCGCGCCCCCCCCTCGGGAGGGTAGTGGTGTCCCTTTCGTTGGAAGGAGGCAGAAATCGCTGGGTTGATGGAGGAGACCCCCCCCCCCCCCCCCCCTTAATCTCCCCTCCAAATCTGAAAAAATAAACTTCGGAAATAAGCTACGATCTAAAAAACGTGCCTCAGACACTCTGTCAAAATACACACACAAGTGGTTTAAATGTGGTGTGATCTGGGATGTGACCCAGGGTGAGGGCATGGGGCCAAGGCTGTGGCTCCCCTCACAGTGCCGCCTCCCTGACCCCTTTCTCCTCTGGCTTTTGCAGGCTTTCCCTCTCCCCTGACAAAAATAAATTAAAAAAAAAAAGAGTGAACTGAGTGTGCCCCATGCAGCATCATGAAACCAGGTGAAAGAGGAAGGTGTGATTTTCATCTCCTGCTTGGGGTGAGATGAGTGGACTCTCACAGGCCACAGTCCCTTGCTGAGGTCCGCAGTGTCCCGGTGTGAAACCACCATATAAACGCTTTACAACACGATCTTAAATTCTGATAGTGCTGGGGAACAGCAGATGTTTTGGCTAGACAGGCATTGGCTAGCAAACCCCGCAAATTCTGCCTTGAAAAGCTATCAGATGCCCGCCTGGTTCGTCCCACCCCACTCCAGGTTAAGTGGGGCTTTGAGCAAGACAGCAGGGTGAAAATTTAGATATTTAGCTAAGGAGACATGTCCCTGTTGGGTGACATCCCAGTTACCTTCATTTCAGCCCTTCCCCTCTGTGAAAAGTGGCTGTTATATTGGGACAAGGTCTCTCTCAGTGGAATGGCAGCCCTAATCGTCCCAGTAGAGAGAGCAGGTAATGGTTTATCATTGCTTGGAAATTGGATTTATCTCCTCTGGGGTGCAAGTCTGCTTTTAGACCAGACGGCTTTGGCAAAAAGATCTCCCTTTAACAATGCTGGCACCCCAGACTGCTATGCTGGAATGGCCTTTTACAGTTTATCATCTTCATTTCAGTCGCAGGTTGATCTCAACTTCTGTGCACCGGTTGGATGAAATGCTTTGAAACGCATTAAAAACCCCACATATGCCCAAGGCATTTCACTGCCTTGGCTGTATTTTAGTAATGAATCAGAAATGAATTCTTCAGAGGTACTAAAAACCAAGCCTAACTTTGAAGTGGAACCTGCAACTTGATTCAGAAGAGCAGATACCCCTGCTTTAAGCCGAACAGAGCAGCCTGCCAAAGGGTTAAACACAACCATATGCGAGGCAAAGATTGGAAGGTTTTAGAAAGAAATTGTGCTTCTATTTTGAAATGTGCCACTGGGATAGGAGGAAGAATAAGCACACACAATACGCCAGGCTTACTCTCAGTGGCGTATGCCAGAGTAGTCAGGCTCAGCGCTGATATCATGCCAAAACGAGAGGAATTAATTTTGTTTATTCTATTCCAGTGTAGACTTAACATGACAAAACTGTGAAGTTTCTATTTTTGTCCAAACCCAAACAGTTTAGCAAATTGCATTGTCCCACTCAGTATTTCATTTATATTGGCTAATAGTTACCGATAGACGGTCGCATACTTCATCTCCACCACTCATATCCTTTAATTTCTTTCCAGTCCCTCTCCACAGCTCTGTCTCCTGCCCTAGAGACCTCACCGGCTCAGATGAGCCCTGGTTTCTGCAACAGCCATCCACAAACTGGCGTGTCCTCCTGGGTTTGAAAAACTGATAGTCTTTCAGGACTTTTTAAAAATGATTTAATTTATTTATATTTTATTTTACTGTTATTTTTTATTCTGTAGTGGACACAGCCACATCCCTGAGCACTGCCTCCCCCCAGTACAGCAGGCTGCGAGCCGTGGGCTTATCAAATGTTTCTTCCATCTGGCTGGAGAACTCGGAGCACAGATGTTAGCGATCTGAAAGGTGCTTTCGGCAGACCTTGACTGCTGAAACTATAAGTGTGTAGGTCATGAGGAGTGAGTCCCCCCAAGTGGGTCCCCCAAGGGTCCCCCCAGGTTTCCCTGGGGACCCAAGGAGTGGGTCCCCAGGGAAAGTCAACACTCTCTTGGTGAAATCAATGCTGAAGGCCCTGTTAAACTAAAAACATGATGGAAGAGGACACCACGTGTCCCATCAGCAGGTACCAGTGTGATGCTGGTTATCCAGGTTGGTGATGTTGTCATAGATCTATGACATGGCCTTGACGTCTTCCATGGAGCCTGAGTGCACCTTGGTGGGGTGGAAGGTCCCTGTCTTCAAGGAGATTTGTAGGATCTGAATGACCAGGAACACTTGCAGGATCCACACTGATAAGCAGGCACTAAAAGAGGATTTTGTGAGACTCCTACAGATGAGTCTCCAACCCAGATGTAGGTTTTTGGAGGCCACTCTTCTTAGGAGTCTGTCACAAATGGATTGAGCTGTGGCCACAATGGGGAGGAAAACCCTGAAATCTGAGCTCAAGCAGATTTTTTTTGGCTTGTTACCCACCTCCATCACACTGACCTGTGTTTGCCTTTCAGATACATGTTCAAAATAAAGTCTCCATCCATCTTCATACGGCATGAGAGTGAACTCAGACTGCCTCCGCTCTGCACCCATTGTGCCTTACCTGCCATTTTGGAAGTCTTGTTAACCAGCACCAAAATCTAACATTACCAACCCGTGGTGTAGTGGTCCCAAAATGTTTTTAGCATCTCTCTTCCCACTGCTGCTCAAGGCAACAGAAGAACAGGGGACACCAATCTGGATTTCATCTGTTCACTGGAGACCATGTTATAAAAAGAAGGAAGGTGGTGGTGAAAAGAGGAGAACAGAGCAGGAAGAAGTAGACTGAAAATAAAAGTCCCTTATACCTTTCTTTATTTATTTTATTTAAGTCTTTATGTCCAGAATAGTGTCACGGGATCTGCTACCAGTGGAGGACAAAGGGGAAGCTCAAAGCATGGGACACAGCTAAGAAGAGCTGAAGAACCTCTCGTGGGCCACAGGACTCCTAGTGCAAAATTTTAGGAGAGCTAAGAAGCCAATCCAGCTGGGGGATCCTTTTCATGCCTCCTGAAATCCTTGTTATTAGATTTCTACTCATTTTTTTGTATCTCTCCAGTGTCTGTGGGATCGGGGGCTGGTCAGCTGCTCCTCCTGTCCTCTGTCACTGCTGAAGGACTCAGGACTTTGTTCATTTGCTTCGTTATGGGGATGGGGGAGAAGAAAACCCTTCCTAATGCTGAAATCTGCCTCTCACACATTCCTCCCTTGCTCTGCTGATGCCTACCAGACTGGAGACATCATGCCCAAGGGAATGTAGCTTCTCATCCCAGGCAGCTCTGAGGGCAAGCACAGGGCAGGAAGGGTTCGTTAACCTGCTAATAATCAACACATGAGCACGAGTCTTCATTAGCCTCACCCAATTCCTCCTTCCCCTGCCTGATGTGTGAAACTTAGCAGCTGCAGAGCCCTGATAACTGCTCCTTGTGCATTTATGCGCTCATCAGAGCTTGGTATTTTAATAAGTGTAAGTGGATTTAGTGTGGTATATAACAATATTATCTCAAAGGCAGGCATTAAGCCCAACACTGCTTGGTACAACCAGTCTCTCTCCTGCCTCTCAGGAGCGTCCTGACTTTATGGCCAAGTCCCTGGTGGTGTCTGAGGCAGTTTACTCCACCAACGATTAAATCAGTGCTTGTCAACGACAAATTAGGGCTGAAGATTGTGCCCACACGATATCCATGGGGTCTCACAAGTGCTGAGAGTCCCACTGATGCTGCAGCATCCACCTGCTAGCGAGTGCTGCCAGGGGTTACAAAAGGGTTTCACTGCATTTCCAGGAGCTGGTGGTGCTCCAGGAGAAATCTGAGATTTGAGCTTTTGCTTCTCGTCTTCTTGGCCAGAAAAGATTTTGCTCAAAGGAGGGCTTTAGCCTGCAAGGTTTTCTCTCCCCAGCTCTCAGCAAGGAGGAGTGGAGACTCCGCTGACCTAAATGGAGAGTCTGGCTTGTTAGGACTGTGCCCTTTTGGAAAGATTTCTTTTTTTTTCTTTCTTTTTTGGATTAGAGAGGGAATTAGTAACACATGCATTAAGGACTTGTGGTTCTTAAACAAGCCGACTTAATTAGGCGAAGATTAAAGCACGCTTCATTGACACCGATCTCTTTCAGGATTCAAAGCGTCGAGTTGTGCTGCCGAATTTTATGCACTTGGCAACGTTGCTCGTCGAAGCACTTACACTACTTTGAAAGTAGTCATCTGGAGGATCCGAGGCGGCTTAGACGTTTATGGTGCCATAAAACCTTCGGCCATAAATTGCACATGATTAGGGTGTGTGTCACCATCAGTATTCAGAGCCGTTAAAAAAAATAATACAAAAAAAAATCTATTTTCTTGAAAAACCTAGAAAATAACACCATGAAACGCCATGAAAATTGCCCTCGCATTCCAGGTAGTCAGCGAGCATTAAGCTAGGTAATATTTGGGGTTCACGGTCACAACGGGAACTCTGCCAAGGGACACAGGCAACTTGTGGAAGGTTTCAGAGCTCTTCAGGTGAGGCTTAAGAGAGATCCTAGCTGGCCGAGCTGCTGCTGTGAGCCTGGAGTGATGCATTTCCCAACTGCTGTGCACCACGCAGAATTCATTCCTTTTAGGAGAAAATTAAGCAAATTAGTTTGGATAATCCACGGCGCTCTGCTCTGCCATCCTCCCTCCTTGCACCTTCTCCAGGTGTTATGGTTGGGCCTCGTTTGGGTTTTGTCTCAGCCCAAGAGCTGAGCAAGGTAAAAAAAGGCAAGTTTTAATAACAGCGCAGCCTTCGCGTGTGTTTTTCCAACGCGTTCCATCTCTCGGCAGATGAAGGAAGAAGAGTTTTGTTCTTACATCTTCAAACTCCTTGTTTACATAGGCTCAATGACAGCATTTATCCTTCTCAGAGCTTTAGGGCCGGTAGAAAAAACCCCGCGAGCTGCAAGCAATCCGAAACGTCAGTCATGGGTGAGCGTTGTGACATGGGAAGGGCTCTTGCCCAAAACTTCTCCGCACAGCTGAGCACAGCAGGGAAACAGGTCTCTAGCTTTACGATGTCCTTTTGATGCTGCTGTGATTTTATTTTCAGCAGCTCCCTATCCTTTTTCTAGAAGGATAACGTGCAGAAACGAGAACATCCCACTGCTGCCAAGAACATCCCAGACAGTCAAATGTGTCTACCCATCTTTTCCAGCACGGAACAGATCTCTGTACACTGAATCTTCAAATTAATCCCAATAATACCAATTAAATGATCTGCACTGAAATGCAATTCTTCCCAAACGCTTGCTGCAAAGCTTCAGCTTTCAGCTCCACCGACGGCAGCGTTGGTACCTCCGAAATCAAACACGGAGGGAAGCATTAAGGGGGAGTTTTTAGACTGCTTGTGAGATTGACAAGGATTTTTTTTTACCCCAGCTTTGCTCTCGATGCTTCCCATATGCAGAGGGGTGGGAAATAAAGGTGCCTCACACAGAAGTGGGTCAATAAAGATTCGAATCCACGCTGAAATGCAGCACAGGGCAGTTTCCTGGGGAGCAGGGAATGATGGAGAGAGGCTGGCTCAGTTTCTTTTGTTTTAAAATTAAAACTTAAAAGACTGGAGGTAGGATCAGCTACTAAGGGAGCAAAGAGCTGCGGGGATCCGTCGCAGAGCTAGATAAAGTCACATCGCTGGCAGAGGAAAAGACACAGCTCTGCCACTTGCCTTTCTGCGAGGAATGTGCACACAAACACACGTGCTCGAGGGCTGGGATGGCTTCAGCTGGACGGAGAGGGAAGTGCAGGAGGCCGGTCACTCGGAGTCCTGCTGAACAAATTGAAAGGAAAAGTGCCCGGGAGCTGACGCTAAGGTTGGCCAACGTTCAAGGGCACGAGACAAACTCGTGGCAGGGAAACTCATTGAGTGCTACGGAGCGTGTGGAAACCACACGCCAGTTCAGAAAGTCCCCGAGCTGAATAAAATATCAGCGGAGAGACTTCAGGGGATGTTATATCCATTTCCCCTGCCCTTTACCCTTCTCTAAGCAGCTGCTCACGGCCATGGCTGGGAGCAGGGCACCGGGAGGCAGACCTTTGCCTGACACATCACAGCCACTCTGAAACCCATTCAAGAATAAAAATCCATCTCTCTCCAAGTTACTTGAGCAGAAAGCTTTTCCTTAAAGCATTTACCTCGTTACTTTGAAGCTAATTAAAGGAAGAAGAGTAGAAATAACCCTTTGCAACTGGAGAATGAATAAAAATCCATCCTCGTGGGCTCTTGCTACAGCCTAACCCCACCACGACGAAGCCCCTGCCCCGCAGCTGGTTGCTATCTGCTTTCGGGGAGGCAGAGTAGAAGCACAGCTGTGCAGACACAGATCCAGAGAAGGTGCTTTCTCCACCCTCGGTTACGGGAAGGGCTTCGAGGCAGAGCCTGGATGGGGGAATTCTGCTGGAAGGGCGCGCTGCCGAAATATGCGGTTCCACTCCAATTGGGGACGGGTCTGCCAGGGTTTTATTTGGAAAGGAGAGCGAGGGGAGAGGGGAGGGGAGAAGCTGGAATGTCAAAACATCCCAACCTGATAGCCTCGCGACGGAGGCTTTCGGTTTTAACCACTTTTTGCTGGAAACTTTTTGCATTGCGGCGGAGGATGCTGCGAGTTCCTACTGATGCTGAATGCTTCTGTTGACAGGGGTGTATTGATCATTTATTTTTGGGATAGATTAACTGATTTTTTATTTTATATTTTTTTGAGTATACCGGATCCCCCTGCATCCAAAATTGCTGCACTTGTCTTGCAAGGAGGTGTTTGCAGGAGCCAAGGAAGGAGGGGTAGGAAACCACGTAAGTGGATTTGTCCTAACCAAGTGGAGTCGTCCCTCCTTGTATCCTTCGGACACACAAAATGGGGAAGCAGCAGGATAAAAAGCAAACTCTGCATGGACAGAAGCACACGCAGGCATACGCTGGAGATAGCCGGGCTAGCGCCTGGATAAATCATCTCTGGTTATCAGTAACAGATGCCGGAGCTGGGGCTGGGGCCTCCCTGAGTGGTGATAAAGGACAACCAACGTCAGGAGCAGCACTTGAGCAGCAGCCCCAGCAAGCCTAAAATAGGGGATGAGACCAGGTTTGTCCAGGGCTCTGGGGTGTTCCCATTAATGTTGGTTGGGGTTTTACGTCCCTGGAGGACAATGGGGACAGATGGAGACCTTCTGGGGAACGGGATCCGGTGGTTCAGGTTAACGCAGAGGATGGAGAGCTTTAGGATTGTCGTTCTGCATATTCAGCCAGCACGAGATTCACTTGAAAAGACAACAAATGCCTTCAGGGGGGACGAGGGGGTGGAAAGTTGGCCGCCTTCGCTCCCCAGAAAAAGGCAGGAGGAGAGCCAGTGGCTGAAAGCTGATGCTAGGGAAATTCACGTGTGAAAGAGGCAGCGAATTTAACTGGGCGAGCAATTAAAGACGGGAGCAAGTTACTCCTAAAATGGTGGATTTGGGAGCTACGTAAATCACTGTTTTTTTCAGTTCAGTTAATTAACCAAAAACACCCCCAAAAACCTGCATTTGGCTCAGCCTGAAGCAAAATTAGAGCTTTTTTCCCCCACTTTTTCCTGTTAGAGCAACACCAACAATTAATATTGGCTGAAACTAAATATTTTCTCTTCCCAGGGCCAAACCCTTTTGATAGCAGGGTTTTCTCTTCCCCAGCAGCCCGATGATCCAAGTGCTTGCCCGGAGCGTGGTCACAAACCAGCTCTCCCCTCCGCCCGAGGACACTCATTCGGCGAGTTTTGGGGACGGATTTGCCCCGTGGAGGCTTAGAGCAGCTGGTGCATGGTGGGGACGGCAACAGGAGGACCAGGCAGAGCCAGGAGGCAATATTTAGGATGCTGGAGTGGGAAAAAGGAGGCAGCAGCTGTGAGGTCTGGCTATAAAAAGGCCGGGAGCTGCCGCAGTGGGTCCTCTGGGGGGTTGCTCCCTGTCCTTCTCCTCGATGCTGTTCTAAATACGTCCCGGAGCCGAAATCACAGGCAGGTTGTCTCTGTCATCGTGTCACCACCTACAGCACTCCTCCCCTTTGCTTTCCAGTTTCCCAAGAGAGAAGAAATCAGCCGCCCCAAATTTCGACCCGGAGTCACGCGGAGCTCGGGTGACAGCCAACAAATGAAGATTTCACACTCAAAACTTCCAGAGTTCCCCATTTTCACCATTCTCCTTGGGAAACAGATGTCTCCTGGAAAGAAAAGATCTCGTCTGACCGGCAGGCTCGGCGTGCACGTTTGGGGAGGTTCTCGGAGGGATGAAAACCTTCCCTATCCTCAGAGGCCACCTGGATTCCCAGCGGAGCTTTGGAGGCCACAGCCGCCGCCAAATGTGTTTACACGAGGCTGTGCCTAACAAAAGAAGCCTGCCTGACCCAATTAGCCCTGAATTCCCCCCACTTCCAAAACAAGGGCGTCCAACCTGCTCGGCTTCCCTAAACCCGTGGCATAGCCCGGAGCAGGAACAGGGCGAAGCTCCCATCTGCCCGCAGAGGTTGGGCTCAGCACATTTGGGGAGGAAAGTCTGGTCCCTAGATGCCTCCTCGGGCAGCTCATCCCATCCCATCTCATCTCTCTGCCCACCGGCAGCCTTGTGCCCAATTTTTGGCAGAGCTGGGGGATGAATTCTGCCACGCTTCAGGCTCGGCTGAGCCCATACGTGGTGTTGAGAGTACAATTAGGGAATAAAGACTCGCCGAAGAAAGTCACCCCGTGGCTGGTGATGCTCCTGAGGTTGGGTTGGAGCATGCAGGTCCATGGCAGGTTTAATTTTGCTTCCTGAAAGCATCTTGGAGTCAACTTAGATCAGGATGGGTGCAGGTGACTCCTGAATATGTTCAGGGATGAAGAGTCCCCCATATTTAGGTTCCTATTCCAACGTCTGACCACCTCCGTGGTGAGTTAAAAGGTTCTTGAGGATGAACAAGCCCCACGCTTACCCATCCCTTCCATGTCTTGTCCCCAAAACCTGGCAGCCTGCACTGGGTATCCTCCAGTATACCACTGCCTGTCTCATACTGGGGAGCCCAAACTGGACCCAGCACGCAGAGGGGGTCTCACAGATGCTGAACAGAGGAAAAATTCCCTGCCTGGGTGATTTAATGGGGACACAGGGCCCACCGAGCCATCAGGGCAGACCTAAAGCCCTAAAGATGTGCCTACCCTAATAGGGGACCTGCCTCTGGATGGGGCCAGAGCTGGCTCGGAGTCCCGATGTCAGCTGTCAGCAGGGCAAATGAAAAAGAAATCCTAAAAGTCCAGCAGGTGAGGGAAATGGGGAGTCTGAGCCTCCACCCTAATGCCACGGAGGTGCAAAAACCAGCAGATTCCCACGGATGTCACTGAGATATGGACCAAAGAAATAGGAAATAAAAATAGGCAAGACAACACATATCAATGGCAGTGCTCTGGATAGTAATAAGGGGAAGATTGTTTCTTCTGGATAAAGTGGGTCATATGGGGGTACCCGAACTTCCCCAGTTTCCTTCTTTTTAGCCCAATTTTGGCATCTACTTTTTTTTTTATTATTATTATTTTTTTTTTTTTTTTCTCGCCTAATTGAGGCTGTTTGGGGAAAGAAAAAAAAAAAGAAAAAGGAAAAGGAAAAAAAAAAACTCACCTTGCCCTGTACCCCAGGCTGTTCAATCCCCAAATTTGCACCAGCCAGGCTCCACGAGACCCTTTTCTCCCTTGCTATTTCTGGGGATGCACGGGGGAAAAAGGAGCTCTGCTCCTTTAAGCTAGCAGAAAGCTTCTTTATATTCAGGTGGAGTCAAGCCTTCCTGGGCTATAAAGTTGCAGGGAGAGGCAGGGGCAGCAGCTGTTTTGCTTAGATCTTAGCGAGGCTCCAATCTCATCATGGTAAGAGCATGCCTTATATTCGGGTTAGCCTAAACCTAAAGTCTAGGCTGTGGATTTTCCAGGCTGAACAGCTTTAGCTTGCTCTCTTTGCTCTCCTGTCTCTCGGGGATGTTAATTCCAAGCAGCTTTATTTAATTGCTGATTAGCTTATGGCTTATTGATTCAAAGTTTGCTCCTTATAAGGGAAAAGTCAGGGACTTGCTTGCAGAACAGCTGAGTGGCTTCTTGCTGCTTTTTTTCCCCCCCCTCTGAATTCCCAGCTCCTGAGATGGGGTCTGTAGGGCTGCAAAGTGCCTGGCTCTTTAATGCAAGTTGGATTTTTTTTCTTTTTCTTTCTTTTTCTTTTTTTTTTTTTTTTTTTTTTTTGGAGGGGGGGAACCAGCATATCTTGAAATGCAACTGTGGGGCAAAGCAAAGCCTGGAGTTTGGCACTGCTGGCCCCTTTCCCGAGTTTAACACTCCAACTCTCACCCTGCCCCAGGGATCTAGTGCAACTTGTAGAGACCTTTAGGGTTTTTTTTTTTTTTCTTCCTTAGGAGTGAGCTGCCATGTTGCCTTTGTCTGCTACAAACCCTTGGGATTAGATATTAAATGAATAAAGTCTCCCTTCCTCCTAGGTTCATGGCTACAATTTTTTTAATCAAATCTTTGCTGTAAAGAGTTTGCAGCTGTGAAACTGGAAGGGGATTGATCCGGCTACTAAAAAACTTGCAGCCCTGCCTGCTCGGGATGAAACTTTTTGTGAATAACCCAACTGTCACCCTCCCGTGCATGCAAAAGAGCGACTTGTTGGAAAATCTGGTGGTGTCCTTTTGCATGTTGCAAGTGGAAGGAAACTTCAAAGGAACTCCCAGCGAGCCGGCTTTTGAACTTTTCCTTTTATCCCGTGACTTCGGGAGCCTGTCCCGGTTATAAAACAGTTAAACATTTCCATGGGATTTCCAATGGGAAAATCAGCTGGACAACAATAGGCTGCCTATGGGCAGAGTCTGCAAAATGCAGTTAATGCAAGGAAAAAAAAAGCTCTTCCAGCATATATGGGGAGGGTTTAAAAAAAAAAAAAGCTGTAGAATGTGATCTATGCTTTCTTCCTTCTAGCAGGCCACTCTTTTTCTTCTCTTCTCTGGGCTGAAAATGGCAGTGCCCCCCTGCAGCAGGTGCTGGGACCAGCAAACTGGGAGAGGATGGGGAGCGGAGCAGCTGTCCTGGCCCGTGCCCCCGCCGGGGCTGTGCCGCTGACCCCTGCAAAGCCTGGCGAGGAGCTATTGCAACCATCTTGCTGGGAGGGATGGGCGAGTGGCAGGCAGCATTTCCCAAATAGTGCAAATATCAGCTCGGAGAGGGAGGGAGGAGGACTTGCATGTGGTGAGGTTCAGCTGTGCTCCACCAGCTGCGGGTGGAGGGCTCGCCGTCCCTCTGCGGTGGCCGAGGGATGCTTGGACAGTTGGTGTCCGGCTTTGTGGCAGATGGTCTGGGCACGTGGTGGCTGCTGGGCTTGGCTTGAGAGCCAAGAAACCTCTTGGTAAAGAGAGGAGAAGTTGTGTTGAGTCTTGATGGCTTCTCGTGGCCGAGAGCTGTTGGTGCTCAGGACCCTCTTGTGTGGTTTAGAGGGTTGTCACTTCAAGGGACAAGGTCCTTCTGGCCGGGTGGTCATGTCTAGGGGTGTACACACTCAGAATATCCTTTCCATCACCACCAGGAGCAATGGTGCTTCTCGCCATACCCGACTGGGATCACCAGCACCCTTTAATGGGATCCCCTGGGGAGCTGGGCCGTGAGCTGGCACTGCAGCACTTTGATCTCGGGGAGGTGGAAGCAGCCGAGGTGCCAATTACCGAGGGAAGCATGCAACCATCACAAGTCCCCAGAGAGTCTCCAGGAGGTGCTGGTACCTCCGACACCTCCCCTGGAGGTTTTTTGGGAGGCCCCTGGAGGGTGACCTGAGTAAATGGGGACTCTGAGCCTCTCCCCGGTGTTGGCCTGCCCTTATTCTGGCCCTGGGCAACTGCTGCTGTCCCCCAGATTTATTTCCTGGTGTGACTCCCAGCTTTTGGCTTCTCCCTGCTTGGCGTTGAGATGTTTTGGAGCCTGAAGTTGTTGTCCCCATGCCCTGACCCCAAGGGGATTGGCGGCCACCTGGCTCCATGGTGGGACCAGGTGAGCGCTGAGCCAGAAGGAGCCAGCGGCGGTGCTCAGCTGCGTCCTGCCTCAGCACGAAGCCCATCACCTCCTTCCTTCCTTCCTTCCCCCTGCCTCAGGCCGGGCAAACCCTTCCTAGCTCTGCGGGGTCATGGTTTGATCCTCGCTCCAGCTCCCAGCGGTGGGCGGAAGCCGCCTGCTTCCCTCATCAGCCCCACCGAGAGCCACAGGGGCTTCAAATTAAGCTGCAGGATGTCTAAAAATCGCCTTAACGAGACATTTTTCCCCCCCCCTTGCAGAGGGAGTGCATCTCCATCCACATCGGGCAGGCGGGCGTGCAGATGGGCAACGCTTGCTGGGAGCTCTACTGCCTCGAGCACGGCATCCAGGCCGACGGGACCATCCCCGGCCCCAAGGTGGCCAAACCCACGGAGCCGGAGGCCGAACAAGTGGATTCGTCTTTTGAGACCTTCTTCTGTGAGACGGCGTCTGGGAAACACGTGCCCCGGGCGGTGTTCATAGACCTGGAGCCCACCGTTATTGGTAATAGTGGGAGAGGAGGGTGTTGTGGCATCGTCATCGGGACTTCTCGCCCTTCTTACTGGGGTCTGGGTCATTGCCCAGTAGCTCCCACTCCTCCTCTGCTCTGGTAAAATGTCTCCAGCCAGCACAACCTGGCTGAAGGCTGCCTTTCCAAATGGACCTGAGAAGGACAGACCCGTTATCCTGAATAACCTCAGCTCATCCCTCTTCTTAAGAGGCCTGCTGTCTTCAGCAGGATCCTCACAGGTGTGAAGAGGCATGGGTTTATCAACCTTGGTAGTGTACTGCAGGGTGAATTACCACATCTGAGGATTTGTGGCACATCTGGATAAGCTTCAGCTTCTCTCTGAAGCTTCTGTGGGTGCTACAAGTTGCTTGGTGCTACAAATTTTGTGGTTCTGCAGGAGCCGTATGTCTTGCTGCTGCAAATGTGCTACTTCCCCTTCCATCCCCAGCTCCATTAGTGATCTCTGGGGGTTTAACTCAATTTGATGTTTTAATTTGATTCGCAATACCTTCCTATTCAAGTTCTTTTCCTCAAGAACCTGGTGGAAATGGCTCCCCATCACCTGCATCCATGTAGGTTGTGCATCCGACCTGCTCCTGCCTCCTAGGCCTCTCCTGGGGGTGAATGTGTTCCTGTCTCCACATCTTGGATGTGTGACTTGTTATTTCAAGTAATGGAAGGAACGTAGACTTCAGTTTGGTTTAATTTAATTTCTAGGTACCTAGTCAAGGTGCTAAATTGGGATCTGAGTGAGCAAGTCAATAGAACATGAAACAAATGAAAATGAAATATCCAACATTGAGCATGAGTGGGTCTAAATAACCCCTGGAGGTGTCTCAAGCTCTGAGCCTAGAGAAATTGCTCCTAATCCTGTCTTCGTTAGCTGGTTGGGATGGATCCAGTGGAAAAATCAGCGCTGGAGGCAACCTGTCTCCTCTTTGGTGTGCTGTAGGGCAGGCGGTGGGGGCCGTGCTTCCAGCCACCTGCGACAAGCAGGAGCACAAACTGCACGTGGTAACTACTGTAACTCACCTCATGTGGGCTCCTAGGGGATTTATTACCTGTTTTACTCTGCCACACCAATATCCATGACCGGTAACTGTGTGCTGCTCTCCATGACTGCCCCTCTTTGTAGATGAGATCCGGACTGGGACCTACCATGGGCTCTTCCACCCGGAGCAGCTCATCAGCGGCAAGGAGGATGCTGCCAACAACTATGCCCGCGGTCACTACACCATTGGGAAGGAGATTATAGACACTGTGCTCAGCAGGATTCGCAAAATGGTAAGGGAAAAGGTGGTCTTTCCCTTCAAATAGCACACTGGGGACTATGTGATTAAGCTTTGGGTTTTGGGGTAATAATCTTTGAAGGAAAAAACATTATCTGAGCTCAAAAGTGGCTGCTGCTGTGAGTGGGCCATCTGATCCTGTATATCTTCACATAAAGCCAACATTACTACATATCATATGTGTATAGGGGATTGGAAGGGGGATGAGGCAATGCTAGATGTAAGAAGGGGAAGAGAAGGACTTTTGACCTCAAGGAGGCCACGTTCCCATTGTGCAACTGCAGAGATTAATTCCAAACGGGCAAACTGCAATGGGCTGGCATGACCAAACTCCATGCTTGATAAGAGCAAGGCAAGTTCGTAATGCTGTACATGGTTGTATGAAGCTGAGGTGCTTTTGAGATGTCTCCTAAGGGTCCAGGACCCATGTGCTACCTCCTGTCTACTCTCAGATATTGAGATGTGCATTTGGCTGATAATTTTGGACAAGTTCCTCAGTTTCCATCTGATATGGTAGCCTATGATAGCTCCATGGAGGTCCTGAAGTTGATTAACACATGCCTACTTAAAGATTCTTAGTAGGGTGATAGGAATGGATCTACTCTAGGGGTTGGATGTACTCAAGGTGGAGTTTGGTTTCGTTTAGCTACTTCTCTTCTGGTCAGTAAGTGCTTCAAGCAGAATTTATTGCTATGTCATTTGGGATAGTCCTTCAGAGAGAGGTAAAAATACATTATTCCACTGCAGGCTGACCAGTGCAGCGGCCTCCAAGGGTTCCTGGTCTTCCACAGCTTTGGGGGAGGCACGGGCTCGGGGTTCACCTCCCTCCTCATGGAGCGGCTCTCCGTGGAGTACAGCAAGAAGTCCAAGCTGGAGTTCTCCGTGTACCCGGCCCCGCAGGTCTCCACAGCGGTGGTGGAGCCCTACAACTCCATCCTCACCACCCACACCACCCTGGAGCACTCGGACTGCTCCTTCATGGTGGACAACGAGGCCATCTACGACATCTGCAACCGCAACCTGGACATCGAGCGGCCCACCTACACCAACCTCAACAGGCTCATCGGGCAGATCGTCTCCTCCGTCACCGCTTCCTTGAGGTTTAACGGCGCCTTGAACGTTGACCTGATTGAATTCCAGACCAACCTGGTGCCTTACCCGCGGATACACTTCC